TATTATTATTATTATTATTATTATTCGTAATATAAAATTATTATATATTATTATTATAGTACAAATATAAGATTGTATATTTGAGGATGACTTAAATGAATTAATTTGTACAAGTTATACTGACAACATACATAGACATTTCGGTAGCTTACTCATCAGAATTTTGACAGTTAAGCGTGCTTGACCTGGAGTAGTACTGGGATGGGTGACCTTCTGGGAAGTCTCCCAGAAATTGCACAAGTAAGGATAAAACATGCTAAACAGTGAAATATTGTGAAATAGAACCCTTGATAGGCCAAATATGAGAGTTGTTACATTAATAAATTTATTAAAATTAAAAAAAAATTTATAATTTCTGACGGATTTTTCCGTCGAAAATTTCCGACGGATATTTTCGTTGGAAATTTCCGACAGAAAATTTCTTTCTGTCGAAAATTTCCATCGGAAAAATTATTTCCGACAGATTTTTTTTTCTGACGCCACTTTTTCCAACGGATTAAAATCCGTCGGAAATCCGTCGAAAAAAGAAAAATCCGTCAGAAATTTACCTATTTCTGTCAAAAATTTCCGTCGGAAATCAGCATTTTTCTTGTAGTGTAACCACCAAGAAAGCACATGATAAGTTAGTGAAAAGAATTCAACATAATAACTAATAAAACATCATCATATTAAAAATATCTCATCTTATAATAGGACAACATCATCATCATACCAACTTAACACTCACAACATATTCATTACATCAACAACTAACATTAAGGCCAAAAACAACGGCTAGCACAAGACTAGAAATAATGGCTAGCATAAGCTAAATTGGTTTCTCAAGTTTTACCACTTAAACAAGAAAGTATAATATTATGTCAAGATAGAATAAAACACTAAATTAATGTGAATAACTAATTTTATCTAGGGCATACAAACAAGGAAATGAACTTCTATTATCAAGAAAAAGAGTTCCCAAAATATGGAAATAACATGATATGACATCAAAAGGCCCAAAGCCCAATAAGAGTGATTTAGTAGCCCAAAACGGAACGGGCCGTTCCCAAACTGGAACGAGGCGTTCCAAACCACCAAAAAGGTCTAAAACCCTAGTTTGGAACGGGTCGTTCCAACATGGTAGTTATGAGTTAAAACTCAATTCTAGAATGGGCCGTTCTGGTTTAAGAACGGGCCGTTCCAAATGCAAAATTAACACATGACGAATGGATCCAGAATGGGCCGTTTCGAATCTGAAACGGTCCATTCTGACCACTTTTGATATCTACAAATAGTAGACTCGGGCACTGTTCTCAAGGCGGGAAAAAAATTGGTCTAAGATTCCTTATAGCTCGAAAATCCTCTCTCTTTCTCTCTCTTTGTATTTCTTGAGATTTGTGAGTCATCTGTGTAGTGTGAAAGGTAGCCAAAAAGCACCTAATATATCCTTATATTTGAAGATTCAACACGATAACAAGTTCAACAATTTATTTGCATGATATTTGGTATCATATTCTTTTCTTAACTTTTTTTTATTTGTTGAAAATAATTATATGTACAGAGTGAATGTGATTTGTTGTCTTTAAGATTATTTTTTAGAAAGTAATCAATATACAACAAATAATAACGTTAATTGAATAATATTTTTATCTTTAATGTTATTTGATTACGAGAGTTTAATGACTAGCCACTTGTTAGCTTGAATTCTTGTGTAAAGATTATTTCAAAAAAGTTAGTAACATTAATTATATCTTTAGCGTTATTATGATCATTCAACGTTTATTTATTTGTTAACTTAAATTATTATGCAAGTTTCAAATAAAAAAGCAAAAAAAGTTTTTTTTTCTTCATCTATAAAGGTTATATATAAAACATGACAAAATATATTTTTAGGGTAAATTTAATATTTATAAATTTATGTAATTTTGCACAATTAATTAAAGGTGTTCTTACCGGAAATCTGCTGCAGAGCTGATCCTCCAGGTAAGATCGGTGAGCCTCCTTCACGGGTACGCTGGTGCTCCAAGATGGGGGTGGTACCTACAAAAGAGACTCCGATGCTAAAGTTAGGGTTTGTATGAGTAGTAGTCTCGTATATGTAATGTACGTACCTTGGTGTGATTTAGGGTTGCTTTGGGCCTTGGGCCTGAGATGAAGTGTAACATGATTAGATAACGGATCTCGTCCGGGGCGAAATCCTCGGGGATCAGTTATGATTCACCTACATACCGAGCTGATGTCACGCAACGCGCGTCCGAGGTCGGCTTGCGTTGTGGTGCTGAGCTTGGAGCTCGGTTACGTAGTACGGTTAGTACACTAGCCCCCCGAGCTCCGAAGACCGTAGGTCGAGGAGTTGAGGCCGAGCTTGCTGGAGGGAGATGACCTCTCGCGTACGTTTGCTCGTTGAGGTGACATGTGTCGCGACCGTTCATTTCCCAGGAACCCGTAAGTGGCCTGTCATGGGAAATGACAGTTATGTAATGATGAATTTGCAATTGATTGTGTTGTCAGGCGTGCTCTTGAGTTGACACGTGGCGCGACCGTTTTGAATTTTTTGGAGAAGACTTTCTTTTCTCTCACTCGCGCCTCTTTGCCTTCTTCACTTTACTCTTTCTTCAACTTCTTGCGTACGCCGCTTCTCTCATTTTTGTCCATCCTCTGTCTCCGTTTTCTCT